TATTAAACAATTATTTATTGAACAATCATTTATCATACAATTATATATCAAACAATTATATATCAAACAATTATATATCAAACAATTATATATCAAATAATTATATATCAAACAATCAAGAATGTTTACAATTTACGTTTGTAATGGTGCAATTATTGTATGTTATTGTACAATTTCCTTGAGATGAAGAGGTCGAAACAGTGTTTCCTCTCAAGTTGTTTATCATGCTTGCGTGATGCTCTTTGTCAAGTTGAAGATAGGGTTTGATGGAGCTTGCAGATGAATGTCCAGTTATCTTCAACAACTGCTGCTCACTTACTCCACTTTTAGCGAGTTGTGTCACAGCAGAAGAACGATGTGAATGGTTTGTAACCTTGATTTTGCTAGGATCCAAGCCAATCTTTCGGGCCGCTTGTTTTGTCCATTTTGCTATTTCATTTTGTCCTACCGGAAGATTTTTGTACCACCCCTTAGACAAAGGTTGCTGCCAATTTGGATTAGGTGTTAAAAATAAACGATCAATTTGAATATTTGCACTTCTTTTCGACATTAACTTCCGAAAGAGACGTACTGGACATTTTTCAGTCTCATTTTCATTTGGCGTTAAAAATTTGCTATCAGATAACCTGTGCGATCCTCCTTGTGCTGTTTTAGAAATTATTGGATTATATTCTATCCTTCCAGTTTGATTTCCATAATGATCCATTTCTTCTCTAAAATACTGTACTAATGCTTTTGTCGCTTCTCCGCCTCTCCAAGCCAATTCGTAGCTAGCAGTATGATAAAACTTCCTTTGTAAGCCATTTGGAGTATTTTCGTCCCATGCTGCTATCATTTTTTCTATTTCTTCTTTCTTGAGAGCAACAGAAGATGCTTTTCTTTTTTCAGGAATATGTTGAAGTTCTCGACGTTTGCAATTCCGCGCATCTCGCGCGGTCTTAAATTCAATATCAGTGAACGGATCAATGTTTCTATTATACTCCCTGAAATATTTTTCCTGGATAAGTTTTGCGGTGACATTCCACAAAGTTTTGACAACAGATTCTTTGTAGTTTTCTCCATTTTTTTTTCGCATGTTATATGCCCAGTCCTCCATAATTGATGCGATTTGTTTCATCTCGATTGTTGCAGTCAACTCATAATTACGTTCAAGGCAGAACTCCAAAAACTGTTTCCATATCGTATTCTTGCTTTTTGTGGTGTTGATTGGTGTTGCTTGTTCGACAGCTAAATGTATTGAATCAGCCGAGCTTTGACCAAATCTCGTGCTCATGTCGGTTTCTGTTAATGACTAATAATAATTGTAAAGTTTTTCCGAACCTATACCAACTCGTTTAAACGTTAGAGAAAATCACAAAATACGAAGTCTGACTGATACTTAACAATGGCGTCGGTTCTGAATTCGAAATGTTTACATTGAGACAAATAGCTGCGTTACCTTGACAACCAAGTCAAGTCAATGCTAATTCTCTAAAGGTGCCCCATAGACTGCGTTGTTGGTAGGCCGTTTTGTTCGTCGAACAAGTCTGTTCGAACAAAAAAGACACAAAACTAAAGTGTGTGGCCAGCGAAAACGAACATTTTACAGCCACACACTTCGGTTGTGCGCAATTTTTGTTCGAACAGACTTGTTAGTCGAACAAAACAGCCTATCAACATCGCAGTCTATGGGTCCCTTTTTGTATCCATTTGAAGGAAGATCCAAACGTGAATAAGTCATCGCGGTAATTTGATACTAACAAATTATCAGTATGATTCCGAATGATTGGCTAGAATCACGCATTGATATTGGTTGAAACAAGGAAAACGTCACATTTTGACATGTAAAAAAAATAATCATTTATAAAACAAGTAATGAATTTTAATTTTCCTTGCCTCGGCTGGAGACAATTCCGCACGATTTGCTGCTGCGTTCGAATTATTAGTGCTGCTCCTAAGAGCGTATGGAGTTAGTAACAAAGCCTACACAAAACACACATGGGCTGAAGGACCTCTCGTAAAGTCGATGGCCAGTTGGTATGTATAGTCGTCTTCAGATATCATGCCGCGGTTAGCCGCTGTCAGCGCTTTTATTGCAGGAGTCATTGAGAATGCTATCATCGTCCATATGCGACATGTTTTGTGAAGACGACTGTACATACCAACGAAGTACATATACTACTCACTACGCAAAATTCACTCTTGGAAATACAGAATTGTATAAAAAAGTCAGCTGCTAAGAATCGATAAACATATATGTATTGCAGTACCTACATGTGTGTAACTCATAGGCTGATAATGTTTCAAATAGAAAGCTATAGGTGAGTCAGGGATCAAACTACTGATCTAGTTTCGTGAAATGAATCCTATACGGTTTTATTCAATTTCAGTTCAAGACCATCTAGAGATTAACCACACTTGGAGTTCCGTTTCCGATATACAGGGGGTAATAATTTTATATTTTTTCTCTTTTTCAAGTTCCCTTATATAATTTTCAAAATAATATAATGGAATTTGGTATACCTATTACACTTGAAAAACTCGATATTTAGGCGATTTCGTTTACCTACAGGGTGATAAATTCTTGAACTTTTATGCGTGCTGCCTCTGCTTTCAATGGAACATCAATTTAGATTCTCTGATTCATTTGGATACTTTTTGCTCATCTTTATGTTTTTCGAAAACTGTAAGGATTTTGAGATAAATGCCCAAATTAGTTTACTTGTGATTAGTGGTAAAACTTTATGTTTCAAAACCACTCCATTTGACATTTCTCAATAATTGACTAACTAGAAGACCTGGAATGATCGAGAGGTTTCATAAGATGTGTAAATGAAACGCAGTGGTAAAACTTGAACATAAAGAAATATATGAAAATATCACACCACCTGTATATCGGAAAAGGTGCTCTTGCATATACAGGCTGTTTTCAAATAAGTGTCACAACGGAAAACTGTAGATTGCTCATGACAAAAGAAACATTTTTTCACCTTTCGAAATTTTTCTTCGGGCTTCCGTTATCAAGATACAGGGCGTCAAAAAAATATAACAAAATCGTTTTTTGCTACTATGTCAGGAACCGTCTGAGCTACGGAGTCAAGCCTTCGTACACACTTCATCATCAATAATGACTACTTTTAGAGCTCTTGATCAATTTCCTTGGACATGTCAGTGGAGGAGACTTCAACGCCTCGTAAGGGTTTAGCCCCCCAAACATTCATGTCACTGGAGAAATTGTAACTTTCAGAGTAGATTCTGAAGCGCCAATATCTTTCACACAAAATACGTCCTCTTGTCTCAATGCTCTAGAGTGAACAGTTTCCGGGAAAAATGGCTCTTTATGAATAAGAACATACAAAATCCTGATAGTATCTCTAAAAATAGTCTAAAAATCCACTGGAAATAAACACCTCAGAGCTGTCTAATAATATGTTCAATCAAATGTCAGTTTCATGAGCATACGCTGGTCTCGAAGCTGGTTTTCAAATTGTTAAGTTTATTAAGTGTTGTAAAGTGTGTTCAATTAAACTCAACATTTTTAATTTTTTGACGCCCTGTATCTTGAAAACGGAAGCCCGGAGAAAAATTTTGAAGAGGAAAGAAATGTTTCTTTCATCATGAGGAATCTACAGTTTTTCGTTGTGACACTTATTTGTTAACACCCTGTATAGTGTGATCCTCATAAGACCGGAGCACCTTTATAAAATCTATAATTTTCAACCGATTTCTTTTTCCTCGATCCAGCAGAAAGAGTATCCGAATATCTACGTTTACAAAAATTTGCAAAATATAATTCCAATTTTCAGGGCATACTATGTAATTTTTTCATGTTAAAAATTGCAAAATATCATAAGCGATTTTATTCAATTCTATTTCTATTCATATATTTTCATTTCAATTTATTTCAGTTTGGATCATCTGAAAACTCAAAAGCGAAGGTGCTATCATTTAATATGACAATTACGTCAACAAGGTCATAGAGAAGCCGAACCTGTTGAATACTAACGTCATTTTTGAGAATGAACAATTCAAAGTTCGTCGATAATTTTGTCGGGCAGTTAAAATGACTTAAAAATGCACATTTTGTGGCAGCTTATAGTTTTCGAAGCTCAATAATTCGAAAATGGTTACAAATATCAATATGGAAGTCAAGACGAAATATATTCGTGTTTCGATTTTGTATCACATGGCCAAATCACTTTCAGCCACCCTGTACGATTTGAGGACATGGAAATTCTTCAGAAATATAATCTTTCCATCTTTCCATCAAATGATATGATTATTTTCTCTATAATTTCATAATTATAATGACATAGATTTTTTCGGTATGCAATTGCAGACATTATTTTAACAAAAAAAAAATTAATTTTGATATAGGGGTAACTGGAGGTCACAGGGATGTTTCAAAAACTATAAAGGGCATTCCATTTGATGAAAAAATGACCCCGACTATGTAGATTTTTTTAGGTGTGCCCTGTATATGCGGCAATAATTTCTAGTTATGGACCTTGTTGTCCCATTCACATTTGATTTTCATTATCTTTCTAGCTATCATAAACCTCGAGTAATCGAGCACCGACGCACTATATATAGCCCAACCTGTATTTTTTCCCCAACTGAAGCACAATGTATAGTTATAGACTTAAAGCATTAGGTTATCTCTCAACGAGCCTTTTTATATATAGAAAGACCTGGATATTTCTGAGAAATATTTTATATTTAGAGAAATCTAATGTGGGAATGTTTCACAACACATAAGTATATAACATAGACATTTCCTAATAAAATAAGACGCATATTTCATAGGGAAATAAATACCTTGGAATCATCCAATGTACGTCTTGAAGGCAAAATATTTATGTACATAAGATGTACTTAGGTATCAAGATATACAAGATATGAAAGATGTACTTCGACCAGAGTATGACTGATTGGTTAGTAAGCAACAAAACTCTCTGCTACTCGCTACCAGAATAACGTCAAATTTGCGTTGGCAAGAAAAAACAAAATGAAAGACTTACCTTCTTTTCCTCCAGTTCTCTAGATCCATCAACTTCAGCCGTTTCTTCATCATATTTTTTATCGTCACAAAATGGATTGTTGGGATGGAATGGATTTATCGAATGGAATGGATTACCCTTATCACTATCATACAAATAATTGCTGAATGGATTCGAATTGACTTTTTCATCCTCTACATGACAAAGTTCTAGTCTCCCCTCGTTCTGACCAAAAAATGTAACAGTCACTGGTGTTGGACATCGCTTTAAATTTTTCTCCTCTACTTTAGATGCGGTATCTTCAGTTGCTTCTTTTTCCAATATATTCGAAGATTTTGGATTGGAATTAGTCAAAGATGGAGACACATTAGAAGGGCCGCTTACAGATATAGTTAATTTGTCGCCACCCTGAAAGTAAAGAATCCTGATAGAGAAACATTATATGGAGTTTCAGAACATGAAACATTTCAAATTAGAAAGACAATGTAAGGCACACGGTTGAAAAATTATGATTTTGTGCGATTTTTGGGCAAGAAAGTACTTTTTTTATAGTAATAATCCAGTAATATTCTCTTGACGGCACTAGTTCGGTAAAATAGTTAGGTAAACAAGTGATGGGAAGTAGTGAATTGTTGATATAAGTTACTATTTGGTTATTTATACGGCCTTGATAGTGTCCTTCTGAATTATTATCATCTTTCATATTTGTTTATTATGAGCTGCATACAAGAAGAAAATTGTTATTTGTCATGTTCTAGAAAAGCAATTATTTACCAAGGCATAGAAGACATTTTTCAAGCCAAGCTATATTATTATTAGGAAATTAGGAAACGAGGCGAGACTTCTGTACTGTGGTTTATATCATTTTTCTCCCTACTAGCACATATTTTCACAATATAAAAGTATTTCCTTCTCAGATTCCCCACTTCTTTGTTAATAGGTAATGTTGTCATTGGAAGTCATTGAGAGCTGTCAGATGAGTGACATTTCAAATTACACCATACTAGTGATCAGGTGACATATGTCAAAATCAATTTTTGAATTGTCGAATATACATACACCTGGAATAATATTTCCAGAACTCAATAATAAACTTTTTTCAATTTCGACATTTAATTTGATACTATTGGCGGAAGTTCTGACACGTACCCAGTTGCGTAAAGTAAAATGTGTTTAGCGGGACGAGCGAAGCGAAAATCCCATCAGGGCGTTTCAAAAAAGGTAGCCTCTTAGAGGGCGCTAGTTATATGGTTTGTACCAAATAGTTTTAAATAGTTTAGATTGGATTAGATTTTCTAGTCCAAATGTTATGTGGATTCAAACATCATTCAATTTTACACTAAAAATATACTCTTGGTGAAACTTCATACTGTGTACCATTTTCGGAATATCTTGATTTGACAATAATGAAATAATAACTGATGCTGGTTTGAAGCTATGTAGAAGTAAGTCTATGAAAAATACAACAATGAATCACAAGAATAACATTAAAATGAATTTAACTAGAAACATGGATAACACAGTTTGGTAGTATCTAAGGAAAAAGTCTATGATTCAGAGGTAAGTAATCACGTCACGAGTTGCAATACAAAATTGAACATTACTTGACCTCACAGCTGATCTTCAACCGTTTAGACGAATAATGCATCCTTAAGAAAGATGGAAAGAATTGGGTATTCGTGGAAACGGAGGACCTGTTGAACACTTACTCTGATTTAATATTCACTGTTTCAAGGCGGCCCGATGGTCTAGAGCGCAAAGGCGCTGAGTTCGTAAGGGAACTCCCACTGAGGCATGGGTTTGAGCCCCAGTTAGGCCATGGATGTTTGTGTTTGTATGCTGTGCCATATATTGGCAACACTGTCTTATGTCAGATGACATAATGTCTATGTCGTGAATGACGTACGACAGATGCCTGGAAATACATGTAATATTGCAACGCTAAAAACCTACATGACACGATGTCAGGTGTTTTAAATCACCTGTTGAACAAACTACCACAAGAAAACTAAATCGCACTTCAAACAATCAAGAATGAACGCGCTACAACAGCAGAACGAAGAACTGCAGGACAAGATGGAGGCCATCCCAGCACGAATAGCTCGAATCCGAATATTTGGGGGCACGACAGCTTTCATCCAAGTTCCACTCCCAGAACGATTTTCATTCGAACCATCGGATTAGAGTCAGTGGTTGAAAAACTACGAAAGGTATTGAAGCGTCACAGGCTTAGTGAACGTCAGTGAAAAAACACAGGTAGAAGTCTTCTACTTCACATGGGACCGGAAATCAACAAAGTGTTGGACAATGTAACCCCCAGTGATGATCAGATGCGCAACTTCCAGAGTATCGCTGCGTTCCTAAAAAAGTGAAAGGTATATTCGAAAGAACCAGATTTAATAGCAGTATCCAGCAAGAAGATTTTATAGTAGCAGTTATAGCCCTTCGTAAAACATGCAACTATGGTGCTATCAGGGATAGATTAGTAGTTGGCTTGCGAGACACAAAACTAGCTGAAAGTCCCACAGTACCGGAACAACCACAACTGAACCAAAACCAAAGGCAAGTCATGATCTGAAACAATGCTTAGCCTTGTCAGCCAAATACGAAAAATGCCATATAAAACGTCACTAAGCTAACATCTGCAAATCAAGTACAGTGGCAGTACAGATAAAACAATAGATGATACACCAGACACAGAAGAGGAAGTAGGCCAAATAACAATATGTGAAGAAAAACAAAACATCACAGACAAACTACAGATTTCGAAATAGATACGAGTGCAGATGTTAGCATCTGAGTGAATATACCCTTCAAAAACTAAAACTTCAAGCAAAACTAAAAAAAACTGCTACAAAATTGAAGGGCCCAGGAGATTTCATAATACCTGTCATTAGAAGTCAAAGTTTCAGTGACATGGAAAGGCAAAGCACATGACTTGAAAATGTTTTTGTGATCAAAAAACCAGCAATAGGGTATACGCGTGTGAAAATTTTACACTGGAATATATTTTTGTTCCATTACTCATATGTATAGATGTCGAATTATACATCCGAAAAACATTATTAAGCACCGAATATTTAATAATTTCTGATTGAAAATCATAATATTTGCAACTTTCCGACCAACAGCCGAACTGCAGCGATGATTTCCGACTGGATGTGGCTGTTTTTATTGTCATGTCAAACATTCATGTCCGAAAGATTGAAAATAATATAAGAAGAAGAAGAGAAAGTGAGGTTATGATCATCTGAGCTTGTAGTTTCTATAATCTATCTCAATTATATGATCTCAATATTCTGAATAATAATAACTGAATAATAAGCAAATATCTACAATAAGAATGATCAAACAGGACTTCTTTTTGCATGTTGTTTCAAATATATATTACCACCTATCAATTTATATCTCAAATAGTTTTCCATATCTTCTTCAAGCTGAAAACGAAATCACATATTATATTATTCTCCTAATAACATGAGGAACATAATCATTGATATATAATGGGTTTCACTAGGACATACTTGAACGTATACTCACTTCGAAATGGTCTTCACAAACAAATCCTCTGGTTTTCTCGGATAAATCATTTCTATTTATGGCTTGCAACCATAATTTTCTTTTCTATTTATTTTTATTACTCGATCCCACTGGCAATGAAAGGAATATTTTTCCTGGTGATACTTTTGTTGATGAAAGACTTTGCGGCACTAAACAGTATTTGGTATAAACATCATTTTCCATTTTCAAATTTCAAATTTCTGGCGTTTAAAACTGTTTTCTTCTCCTACCTCTTCTTCTTCATTTTTTTTCAATCTGAATCTTGTCATTCTGTCGCGCTAGTCTATGGCTGTGCGGCCTAATACTATGACGTCATAATATTAGTGATGGCCACTAACCCGTTTTCCTGTGACTTCATATTTAGCCTCATTTAAATGAAATTATTTAGAGTCACAAGCAAATTTGAGATTAATGAATGATATCCAATGTTATTATAAGGAAGAAGGAATATAATTTCGATTAAACAAAAAATCATGCGTATTCCTTATTGAGACATTAAACTTGATTCAGTATGTTAATGAGATTGCAAGAGACACGAATACTGGTGGTCTAGACAAAATAACAATGGATTTCCCAGAACTGTTCACATGCATTGTAAAACTCGAAAATTTTCCATATGACATCAAGATAATTAAAGATGCCATACCCTATTCTATTTCAACACCACATAGAGTACCTATCTCCCTTTTGGAAAAGTGGAAATGGTCACAGAAGATATCATAGAGGAAATCGCCGTGAATAATCCTACTTCTTGGTGTGCACCTATGGTGTGTGTTCTAAAGAAACCAGGACAAGTGCGAATCTGTGCTGATTATACTGAACTCAATAAGTAGTATGTGCGTAGGGGGAAAAATCATTTTACCCACAGTAGACTCAACTTTGGCAAAACTGTGTGTAGCAAAGTTTTCTTCAAATTTAGATTGCAAATTAAGTTTTTGGCAGATATATTTGACAGAACAATCCCGAGACATTTTTTTTACGTCGGCGGGAGGAGAAGTTAATTGCTCCGGTAACAAAAGAAAGGCAGAAGTGGCGTATTATTTCCTAGGGAGATAATGTGACATATTTTCTTCCTAGGGAGTTTGTACCAATATTACATTTTCCGTATATCTCTGCGCTTTCTTTTCAGAACACCATTCTCTGGAGCGATTATAAGTTGCATCATACATATCTCTGGAAATCACTGGTAGCAAGTTAAGAATCACTGTAGAAGTCCTATTATGTGTAATCTGACTTCCTGAAAGAATATTGTTTATACTACAATAACAACTAACCTTACATGACAAAAATGAGAATTTAATGAATGAATTTTTAAATACTCTTTCGTTTCATCATCAAGAGATAATCGATGGAAAGCAGCTCACTCACTTCATGATTTTTAATGTCATTAATTTTGGCCAGAGTTCCTAACAATTACCACCCACACATTAGTAACACGGTGATAGTGCGTTAATGGAATGTCAAGACCAACATGTATAATTATTCTTCACGAAACGATGTCTAGATAACGTCTATGGTTATGGTGCGTTAATGGAGTGCCCTTTTATGGCAATCTTCAATAGAAAAACACGGGGAATCTCTAGCTGTCGCGTTCGACATATCGAAAGCATTCGACCGTGTTTGGCACGAAGGACTCCTCCACAAACTACCATCATACGGCTTAACACCTCAGCTATGCCATCTCTTATCCAATTTTCTTTCAGGCAGATCGCTTCACGTGGTGGTGGACGGTGTATCGCCTGATACCATTGGCATCAATTCCGGCGTTCCACAAGGATCAATTTTGGCACCAACATTATTCCTGCTTCATATCAATGATCTGTTGGGAGTAAAAACTTGCCCCATCCACAGCTTTGCAGATGATAGTACCCTCCATACTGCGTTCTCTTCCAGAATTCCCATTTCTTCCCAGGAAACTAAGAACTCACGGCGCAGGCAGGTTAATGCTGTCAATGAAGATCTTGCTGAAATCAAAGCCTGGGAAACAAACAACCTAGTTGAATTCAACGCCACCAAATCTCAAGACTGCATTTTCTCTAGAAAGGCGGAACTCAGTATGCCCGATATTGTAATGTCTGGCTCCACCATCCCCACCAAGCCCACCATATCTATGCTCGGTATTTCTATCAGCAACACTCTTTCATGGGATAATCATGTCAGATCCATCGCTTCACAAAAACTCGGATTCTTGTTCCGTGCAAAAAACTACTTTACACCTCAACAGCTTCTCATGATCTACAAAGCGCAGATACGACCTGTTCTAGAATACTGTTCCCACATATGGGGTTCAGCACCAAAACATACGCTGAGGCTCTTAGATTCCATCCAGAGAAGAGCCATTCGCCTGGTGGGTGACGCCACACTCAATCACTCTTTGACATCATTGGAACACCGTAGAAAGGTCGGCGACCTTTCACTTTTCTATCGATACTTCCACGGGAAATGTTCTTCGGAAATCTCTGCTATCATCCCTTCACTAGCAATACCAATCAGACGAACTAGACAAGCCCAGTCAGCACATCCTTTCGTTGTCAACCTCGAAAGATGTCGAACAGCACTTTATCAAGACTCCTTCATCCATAGAACGGCTAGGCTCTGGAATTCATTGCCTGTGGAAGTATTCCCAACAACATATAATCTCCAAAAGTTCAAAGAAAATCCAATACCTACCTCCTGTCCCTATCCTCCCTAGGAACGCACGATGTTCTTTGAACATTAAAGGGATTCCCTTTCGTGCGCTCCAAGCGATAAAAAAAAATTTAAAAAAATGGAATATAATGATTATCTGAGCCGAAGAATGATTTTTCAAAAAATCTTGAAAGGCCGACTTCTAATTCAAAAAAATAAATTTCTCTCAACACATGAGTGCATGCTTTATAAAAATATATTCAGTAGTAATACTATAAGTATTTACTTCAAAATATTCGGGGTATACAGCGATAACTTGATGCATAATTACAAAGTCTCAGTTTAACAGTTGAAATAACCGACCGCGAAGCGGAAGGATTATTCTAGTGGGCTGACGATTTGTAATTGTACAGGAAGTTCAAAATGTATAACCATGAAGATTTTGAGGTCCGAATCGTATTCGATGCGATTATATTTTCGTCAAAATTTGACGACGCGCTTTGTTAGTATGTTACAATATAAAGTAGTTACTATGGAAATGAAAATAACCCTAAATTTCTGATTGGTGGAACTACTCAATGTATATCCACGTATATTCGAAATTATACAAGGTAGCTTAGCTCAATTGAACGTTCGGATTGGTTTAAAATCAGACGAGGAAAATAATCATTATTATTTCAAATAATGAAGCAAAAGTGTGTGATATAATATTGACCGATCGTGAGTAACAAACCATAAGTCACATTATTGAAGCCCTAACGAAAAAAAATCCGTTTTTTTTTTCAAATGAAAATAATAATATTTTAAACTCATATTATGAACACAATTTTTGGTTGAATAATGAAAAGCTATCAAGAAAATACTTACAACTGATATAAAAGTAGCTGCACTCAAAGAAGTTTCTTCTTCTTTGGCATGTACAAACATTTGATTAGTCAGTTTATGACTCTGCATTTCCTCTTCAACTTTAGCTGAAAAAAATGTTTCATGGAATCATAACTTATCCAATCGCAAAACTGTGAATGATGAGTGAAAAATCGTATCCCAATCAAATAAAATTAATTTTAAAATTGGCAATAAGCAGATTGATATTTGGTGACAAATCAAAAGATACTGCAATTTAGCTAAAAACTGGTTCTGAAAATTAAGGCCAAAATATACAAGTTAACCAATCTACTGACGGATGATGCTACAACACAAGAGAACATCATATACATATTGATTCGAATATTAATATTTTCCTGCCGCTGTCAAACTTCGACATGAAGAAAAAAGTTTTTCGTTTTAATTGCTTCAATTTCCACAAAATAAGTAACAATTATTACCTCGCGGGTCAACATGATTCCTTAAAGAATGTGTTACTGCCACCATAATTCAGCAAATGGGTATTAGAAAGTAAACAAAGTTATGGTAGACAACTGTTTCTCACAAATCGATTAAAGTAATACCATACTAACCTTTCAGAATGTTGCATTTTATTTGTCCAGGTGGTAAAGGTTTCGCTGCACCACTAATCTTGGAAATATTATTGGGTAATTCAGCAGGTAGGCACTTTGAAACACAATCATCTTCTGCTACAATGCAATAGGTTGGTTAATATTCTTACACCCCACATAAAAAAAACAGTCAAACTCACTATCTGACTCCGTATTTTCGTTCCTCTTATCATCTTTACTTATACCACTAAGCGACTCTTTAGCTAAGCTCTTGAACAAGAATTCTAATTGGCTATCGGCGTTCGAAGGAGTCGGGCTTACAGGGGTAAGACCAACTGGTGCCGTATGATTGTTTCTTGGTAAAGTTCCACTTTTACTTGCTGCATATGACACTGGGCTGAAATAGAATAGGAAAATGCTTAAGAGACACTCGCAGGTAGTGCGTTCAAAAGTTGTGATGCCTTGCAATAGGGGGGATATACTGGGTTACTAACAAGCCTGAAAACGGTAACATACCTCAAGAACATTTATTCATCAGATTATACCACTGACCTATGAACAGAACAAATGAAAGGACAATGCATGAAGATGCGCGGTATGTATCAACGACAGTACTGCATGTCTTTGGTCCCTGCTTTAGAGTATTTTTAGAAGGTATATGTCTATACTCGTTCAGATTTTATCACAGTCTTCTAATCTCTAATCTCAGTATTGATCGTCCGTTCAGCCATTTTTACGTTGTTTGTCTTTGGTATATAATATATCTATAATATATGTTTTTGTTAGTGTTTTGCTGTTTTATCATCGACCTTGAAGAGTTTGTTCATGTCCACTGTTTTTGTTTCTTGGCATACGGCATGTTGCAGTAACAGCGATGACATATGGTCTATTTTTCAAATTATTCACTGTCGGTCAAGTATAATATACGCACTGCGCATAGTGGTCAACCAACTTTTTCAAGCCGATCACCTAGTATGCGCGAGTTCAATTAAGCGTAGTGAGAACTATAATGGACGGTGGATGGAAAACTGGGATGATATGACCGCAAAACTCTCGGCAGAGAAAAAACTCAAACTGAAACATTTCGTTACGTGCCTGATCAACTCACCCACTTCTCGAATAAATTTCCTTATCAAATGTACAGAATGAAATCAGCCATTATAGTCCAACAGCCAGCCGCAACATCGACAAGGTTATTATTTTCATAAATTGATATTATTATAACTAATATATAAAATTCTCCTGTCCCGGTCACGGTGTTAGTGGTCGAACTCCTCCGAAACGACTCGACCGATTCGTATGAAATTTTTTGTGCGTACTCGGTAGGCATGAGAATCGGTCGTAATCTATTTTTTAAATCGAAAATTGAAGATGGCGGATCCAATATGGCGGACGAGTATTAATATCCGATTTCATTCAAAATTGGTATTTGGAGATTTTCGGGGTCGGAGATTATGATTCTTTCGTCAAATTTTGGAAATTCAAGATGGCGGATCCAATATGGCGGACGAGTTTTGTAATTATGGTCAGATTCCATTCAAAATTGGTATCTGGGGGTTTTCGAGGTCGGAAATTATGATTTCTTCATCAAATTCAGGAAATTCTAGATGGCGGATCCAATATGGCAGACGAGTTTTGTATTTATGGTCAGATTCCATTCAAAAGTGGTATCTGGGAGTCTTCGAGGTCAGAGATTATGAATTTATTATCAAAATTAGGAAATTAAAAATGGCGGATCCAATATGGCGGACGAGTTTTGTAATTATAATCCAATTATATTAAAAATTTGTATGAGGGTTTTCGGGGTCGGAGATTATGGTTCGATCGTCAAAATTTGGAAATTCAAAATGGCGGATCCAATATGGCGGACGACTTTTGTAATTATGGTCAGATTTTATCAAAATTGGTAACTAGGAGTTTTCGAGGTCGGAGATTATGATTCCTCCGTCAAAATTAGGAAACTCAGAATGGCAGATCTAATATGGCGGACGAGTTTTTGAATCATGATCAGATTTCATTCAAAATTGGTATCTGGGGGTTTTCGGAGTCGAGGATAATGATTCTTTCATCAAAATTTGGAAATCCAACATGGCAGATCCAATATGGCGGACGAGTTTTGTAACTATCATCCCATTCCATTCAAAATTTGTATCTGGGGGATTTTGGGGTCGAAGACTATGATTCTCTCATCAAAATTAGAAAAAATATGGAGGATACAATATGGCGGACGAGTTTTGTAATTATGATCTGATTCTATTCAAAATTTGTATCTGAGGGTTTTCGAGGTCAGAGATTATGATATATTCTTGAAAATTTGGACATTCAAGATGGCGGATCCAATATCGCCAAAGAGCTCTGTAATAAATAGTAGTTAGAAAAACTATAATGAATCACGCTTTTATGGATCGCCAACCTCGAGGCCAAATAGAATAGATGTAAAAAATTGATAGTATAGTTTAAAAAACGAGATAGATTGTCGAACTTGAAAGAAGTAGAAAATGAAAATAGTATTTGAAACACTGATGAAACACGAATTTATAGATAGCCAAACTAAAAAGAATTAAATGAAATAATTATTGACAGTCTTTTAATGAAAAAATGATACGTAAAATCGACATTGGGTATCATGATGAATCGTCGCTCCACGTTGGTTATTTTGAGAAAGAGTATGATGAATGCTCTTCGGTATCAAGAAAACTATTGTGTTAGAGAAGTTGTCGTTCAAGTTGCTCAAAACTTTTGGTGACAATTTCATACTGTTGATGATAATCAACTACCATCGTGTGAGGACAACATAATAGCCTACCTTTTCTCCCTATCCATCATAGGTACGCACCCTATAGGTCTCCATGTCGGAAAGTTGGAATAACAAAAAAGTACTGACGTGGTACTCAATGGAATGAGCTATCAGAATCTTGAAAAAAATTGAAAATTGGTTGATCCAATCCAAAGTTGACGGATCGAAAAATTTTCATAAATGAAAGAAAAAAAGAAAAAACTCCTAGTCCGCCGACCACACTGTTATGGGTCAGGAAAATCAAACAGTACCATTGTTATTACAAAGAGTAACCTAATAACTTTCGTGATGTGCTGGATTCAGTGACACTTTTTTTATAGCGGCTGAAAAGCCAAAAAGATCTGACTCTAATAAGATTGAATATTTCAAAAAAAAAATTTAATATTTTTTATCGATCACATGTTGAAAAATAGTAGAATGTAAAAAACATTGTCAAATAAAGGTATATAGAAACCAATCTGAAGGATTGACAGTTATCACCATCGCAGTTTCAAGAAAATCGCATCATTAATAACTGAGATTTTGGGGCGTAGTAATGACAAGCGAGATTTTGAATTTTTCTTGAGATTTTGAAAATATGAATTGGGGGGTATTTTGGGGATGCTGATTCTGAATCTGATGAAAAATTTTATTCAAAATAAGCCCTGATATCCTTTTTCCCAATAATGGCCTTTTTTGTACGCCTCAACATTGCACGCCAATGGTGAATGAAACTGTTCACTCTGCTGAATACTTCATTGTTCTAACATACAATCACCACTGAAATTTCAAGAGAATAGCATCTATAATAACTGAGATATCAGGGTCTATTCATGAAAAGCGGGACACACTTTATATTACGAATTATCACTTCAAATTTCACAGAACGGTGAATTTACAGATCATTTTTGCACGTTTCTCAATGTATCGTTTCGTCAAAGGAATGGTCGTCATACCACCAATGAATTAACGAACCAGAATCCTTGTTATGTTCGTGGAACAACGTGCGCACCTAAGGAATATTTGGTGTAAATTCGGTGAACACATGAAGCAGTATCTCAGATACAGAATTATAATTATATTTTGACCGATCTATACCTAGCACGAATTCAAATATAAGGGGAAAATGGAGACATATAGGACTTTCAATGCATGAGACGAAAGATAATGTAGCCAAAATTACCGGCATATAGGTTTATTAACAAGCCAGTGCTTTCGTAAAGTACTGAATAAATACATGTTCAGTCAAACTACCCGTTTTTGAGGAATCTCCTGAAACAGATCGAATTTCAATCTCAATTTTTCCAGATTGATTCAAATATAATCACACATATGGTTTGTATACAGTGACAAGTTGTTCAATTGAATAATTGATTATCCATCGAGTATATTTGTTATATTTTGTGCTGATCGACAAGCGTGTGAAGCCTATATGCTAGTAATTTAATACCCGATATGTAGAAACATTTGAGCCTAAATGTCCCACCATCAGATTAATTAGTCAAAGAAAAATACATTTTAAAGATATCTGTGGAACCGCTGGAAAATCGATAATCCAAGAGGATTTTTCGGATAAAACATCTCATTCAACTCGGCATAAATAGCTTATGACAAAAAATAGAACATAACATAACCTTCAAAACATAATACACCTATAAGAGCATAATTGTAAGAAATTCTCTTATAATTATTATAAACTTATAAGTTATTGTAAGGTAGGTACATACCAAAATAAAAATTAATTATCATTTAAACATGAACATGGCGTCACCGCAATGATTTTTTGTAGACGAGCAATAATAGTTGGAGGAAATATCATTTGTCGTTTTTTTTTTGTTATGAATTGTTTTCCGGCTGATCTGTTATCAGTTGTCAGTGTTTCAGTATCTATATAAATAAATATTATAAATCTGAAGCAGACTATTTTGTGGATGAATATGGTTCGGCAGTGTCAAATCTGTAAAAGGTAAGTTACAAATATCCTAACCTGATATTTCACAAGTACGTAAAAACTTGGTCCAGTTGCTGTCTTGTTTGAGTTCTGTATTTTGTTGCTGAGAAGCGTATACGAAATCTCACAAAGACTTTACAAAATGATTTATTATTATGTTACAGTACATCAGATTTGATTCATTGATGCACATACATACAATTATAAAATATATCTATAAAGAAAATCAATTATCTGGCAATAAATTCGCAGAGTTAACCCCACCATTCGCGATTTCATTCTTTTATCCGTGTTTGGTGTATAGGATTGTTGTTGTATACTTTTTTTGAATAATGTATGAGTGAATCGCAGTGTCTATCTATTGTTAGTCAGTCCGAGGTCTTACCTGTAAGATGAAGCACATCCAACAGATGCTTTTCCAAATGAATTTGCAGTTGATGTATTTCCGAACGAGGTAACAGAAGCCTTTCCAAAGCTACTCTGTCCGACAGAAGCTTTTCCAAAGCTGCTCTGTCCGACAGAAGCTTTGCCAAAGCTGCTCTGTCCGACAGAAGCTTTTCCAAAGCTATTCTGTCCGACGGATGCTTTTCCAAAACTGCTTTGACTCACAATGCCTATGGATTCCGGTCCTGAAAGAATTTCAAATGACAACACCAGGTTTACTGCTGTCCCCATGTATAGGGATTTTTAGACAACTTCCTCATTATGTTACATGGTCAGATAAAAAAATATATGACATTTCATACCAAAGGTTTGAAACGTTCGGCCAATAATGTAAATAGATGACCATTATATTAATAATGATACAGTGCGTGTGTCCCGTTTTTGCTGCTTTTGCGTGATATCTCAGTTATCTTTGAAGATACAACCTTGCGGTTTTCGCGGTCCTGTGCCACTTTTTTGTGGAAATCGATATGGCCTAATTGAATTTTGTATAGCTGTTTCCGTTTATGTTTATGAAACAAAGGCGATTTCGAAATTGTATACTTTTTGAACCCCCTCTATATCTACGAAGTTTCTCAGCAAAATTGTCAATTTGAAATCTTATCCCATAAAAAATTTCAGGCAGAATTCAGCAGCGCACTCAATTTCAAGTAAAATTTTTTCGAGGTATGGTTTTGCAGATACGACCCAAACTTATCATTTTTTAAATGGAACACCTTGTATTTCATAAGCTCATTAAATTCATATTTTTTTTTCCTCAAAAATGATATATAATGTATAAATATAAAATTTTCGAAAATGGAATTACTGATTTAATGATTTTGAATGCTTTAAAACGTAAAATGGTCATCAATTTGATCAATTCAATGAATAAGTTACTGAATAATTTCGAAATTCAACTGTTTTAGTGAATATTCAATCATGTATTTTTCTTCATTATACACTTTTTATTACTATTTATCTGTTGCTATCGGGTACCTAAATTTTGTGTTGTGTTATTTAATTAGTGTTGATATAATAAAAAAAATATTCCTGCAATTGAAACTTTTTTATATGAAAAATCCATAGCCTATTAAAATTCAATATTTTAGTGATTTTGGTGAATTTTTTAAAATTTTATACACTCAGTTCCAAAAAAAGTGACGCACTTGATATTTGACCTATCTTCTTAAAAAAATAACAAAAAATAGTAGGCCGATTTTTTTTTATTTGTTGGTAGGTAATGCATTTGTCTTTGAAAAAATTTTTTCAAAGCCTCCTTGATGGTGGTGGAATAACTCGAACCATGATTTATTCTTAATTTTTGACTCACCCTGTGTGTTAATTGAGTAATGGTATACAAAGTGCTTCCATCCTATACGAAATAGGCTTCTTTTGCGAGCATTTTGTTTTTTTATTAACTGATTTATTTCTGAAATTTTCCGAATTACAGCTTTTTTGCTGATACCTTACGCTTATTCCACAAATTAAATTTATTGAAGGATCAGAGTACTCAAAATTGATTGGGTTGTACTCTGGTAGGATCACATTGTCGTTAAAAAACAAATGCCGTTGCCATAGCAACTAATTTGTCGTATGCCTCCATATTTGACAATTTGTCGTTGTGTCATTAATTAGGTGTCTTGTTTTATTGACTAAAATTACATAAAATGCCTCAAATAAATCCTGAACAAGTAGCAAGATTAGTTGCGTTAGTAAACGATGGGCGTAGTAAACGTTACGCCGCTCGTGCAGTGGGAGTTCATGAAGCAACTGCTCGTAGAGCAATCCGCAAGTGCGAACAAACAGGAAGCACCGCTCGGAGGGCGGTTCTGGTCGCCCCCGAAAAACTTCTCCAAGAGATGATCGCTTCTTGAGATTGCGGATTTTACGGAATCGATCAAATACTGCGGTAAATGTTCATCAAGATCTTCTCCAAATTCGTGATGTTGCAGTAAGTAAGCAGACGGTATGTAGACGTCTAAAAGAAGTTAATTTAAAAGCTAGGAGACCTGCAAAAGGTCCCAAATTATTGCCCGAACATCGTGCTGCTAGAAGAAATTTTGTTGAAAATTATGGACAGTGGAATATTCCTGAATGGTCGAATGTCTTGTTTACGGATGAGTCAAGGTTTTGCCTCAACATGGTGTATGGAAGAAAAAAAGTGTGGAGAAGAACTGGTGAACGGTTTAATCAAAATTTAATAACAGAATGCGAAAGTTTTAATGGTGAGTCCGTTATGGTGTAGGGAGGGATTTCAATGAATGGAAAGACACCCCTTTATGTTTTTCCGGTGAGGCAGTCGATGAATGACCAAATTTACATTTGACATTCTAGAGCAGTATGTCTTACCTTGTGCAGAGTTAGTGGGCAATAATTTTATATTGATGCAGGATAATGCCCGACCACACACCGCAGCAATTGTGCGAAACTTCTTAGAAGCTACTGGTATTACGACATTACAATGGCCTGCGAGAAGCCCCGATATGAATCCTATAGAACATTTGGGGGATGAGTTAGGGAGAATGGTACGTTCTCGCGAGAGGTTTCCGGAAAGCCTCGCAGGAATGGCAGATGCATTAGTAGAAGAATGGGATCGTACACCAATGGAAACGGTAAGAAACTTAATTTTCAGTACGCCTCGTAGATTATAAGTTCTTAGAGTTGCTAGAGGAGGCAATACACGGTATTAAGCAGTCATCCCAATTTATGATTTTGTGTTTAATAAAAATGTTTTTTAAAATTATTGGTATCATTTTATTTCATTAGATAAATTCAGAAAGTTGGTAATCTGCAAGGATTCAGCAAAACAGCTGTAATTCGGAAAATTTTAGAAATAAATCAATGATAAAAAAATGCAAAAGAAGCCTATTTCGTATATGGTGTAAGCACTTTCTATGCCATTACTCAATTAACACACAGGGTGAGTCGAAAATTGAGAATAAATCATGGTTCGAGTTATTCCACCACCATCAAGGAGGCTTTGAAAAACCTCTTTATTTTTTTTAAAGACAAATGCATTACCTACCAACAAATAAAATAAAAATAAAAATCGGCCTACTATTTTTTTTAAGAAGATAGGTCAAATATCAAGTGCGTCACTTTTTTGGTACTGAGTGTATTTATACATTATGCAAGGTGTCCCAGAACAACGTACGGTATGTTGTTCTGGGACACCTTGTATATCATTTTGAAGGGAAAAAAATAAGGAATTTAATGAGCTTATAAAATACAGGGTGTTCCATTTAAAAAAAATCACAAGTTTGAGTATCTGCAAAACCACAAAACCGAAAAAAAAATTGTGCGCCACTGGATTCTGCTTAAAATTCTCTATAGGATAAGATTTTAACCGTGTGGTGGTCGGATTAGAATAACCCCACGGTAAGTCCTGCCTGTCGTAGAAGGCGACTAAAAGGACGCCAATAGGTGGAAGATGGTTAACGCCATCGCCCGGTGCGATACCACCACATCAACCATAGGCACTGTGAAATGGGTATACTTACCCGTGTTTCAGTAGCTGGTTGATGTTCCGGCCAACCCAACCCAACCCAATTTTCTTTTCCTTTCACGCCAACCTCCCTGCTTTATACAGAATACGCGATGATGAGTTCTCCTCAAGTGAAATTATCCGGAAGTAAAATACCTCTCCATTCGGATTTCCGGGCGAGAGGTGCTAGAGGGGGTTCACCATCGGCTCAAAAAGTCCTCAAGATAGACCTATGCAACATCCGAGGTCTAAGTAAGAACATCAACGATGTCCATCGACACCTTCAAATTGGGAAGCCAGACATATTGGCTCTTACTGAGACACAGGTCAATTCATCCACCAATACGACCTATCTGCTCTGTCCTGGGTACGAACTCCACACACGTTTCAGATTCAAGGGAGGTCTCTGCCTCTACTCTAAAACGAATCTCTCATGTCAACGAGAAAAAACTTTGGAACCAAATAAGTTTGATGTCATGTGGTTCAAACTCGATAGTCAGAAACAGACCAAATACCTTTGTTGTCTCTACTTATCACCAAATGATCCATCCTATGAAGAGCTCTTCGAATTCTTGTCTCTGAAACTTGACCAAATTCAACAGAACCATCCAGCAGCAGAAATCATCATCATGGGCGATTTCAATGTACACAACACTGCTTGGCTCGTACACTCTAACAGAACAGATGAAGCTGGGCGACAAGCCGAAGCTTTCGCCATCACTCACGGCTTAGAGCAGCTTATCAAAGAACCCACACGAATTCCCGATGCCAATAACCATTCAGCTAACATACTTGACTTATTCCTCACTAATAATTCAGCACCCTACACCATAGATGTACGAGCTCCACTTGGCAATTCTGACCACACACTCATCTCCACAACCTGCCCATTTTTCATTCCATCAACTGCTCCGGCACCCCCACGTCTTATATGGCATTACAATTCAGGAGATTGGGACGGTCTCCGCATGTTTTTCTCTGAGTTTCCTTGGCATAGAGTATGCTTTGACTCTGAGGACCCTTCACAGTGTGCTGCGGAAATATCCGAGATCATCATGCTCGGAATGGACACATACATACCTCATTTTTCGAAAAGATCATCACCTTCGAAACCCTGGTTCAACAAAAACTGTTCTAGAACTGTTGCCTTGAAACAAACAGCCTACCATCGCTGGCGCAAAAACCCTAACCTCGCGACTAGAGCAGAATACGTTGATGCCAGGAATAACTGCAGCCAAACAATAGATGCTTCGAAAGAAACATACAATGCCAAGATAAGATCGAAACTCATAGATTGTCCCAATGGCTCCCGTTCGTTTTGGTCCCTTGCTAAAGCGGTCGGAAGAAATTTCACTAATAGTTCATTTCCACCACTGTCCAAATCCGACGGCACATTAGCAACAACATCGCAGGAGAAAGCGAATATTTTTGCAGAGATGTTCGCAGCAAACTCTACTTTAGATTCCCAAGGAAAACTGCCGCCAGACATTCCACCCGTTGAGAGTCGAATGCCCGAAATCGTCTTCCGTCAACGCACTATCAGACGAATTTTGCTTGGTCTCAAAACGAATAAGGCTAACGGTCCTGATGGAATTCCACCCATTATCCTCAAAAAATGTGCACCAGAATTAACACCGATTCTCTGCAAGTTGTTTACCATCTCGTACAGGTCGGGTATTTTTCCATCATGCTGGAAGACAGCTAGAGTCCAACCAATCCCCAAAAAAGGGAACAAGAACCTGCCCAACAACTACAGGCCCATTGCCCTGTTATCAGTAATCTCCAAAGTGATGGAGAAAGCCATCAATATTGAGCTTATCAAATATCTGGAGAGCTCAGGAATCATCAATGATAGACAATACGGCTTTCGCCACCAAAGATCTACTGGAGATCTACTTGCCTACGTCACCCATTTATGGCAATCTTCAATAGAAAAACACGGGGAATCTCTAGCTGTCGCGTTGGACATATCGAAAGCATTCGACCGTGTTTGGCACGAAGGACTCCTCCACAAACTACCATCATACGGCTTACCACCTCAGCTATGCCATCTCTTATCGAGTTTTCTTTCAGGCAGATCGCTTCACGTGGTGGTGGACGGTGTATCGTCTGATACCATTGGCATCAATTCCGGCGTTCCACAAGGATCAATTTTGGCACCAACATTATTCCTGCTTCATATCAATGATCTGTTGGGAGTAACAACTTGCCCCATCCACAGCTTTGCAGATGATAGTACCCTCCATACTGCGTTCTCTTCCAGAATTCCCATTTCTTCCCAGGAAACTAAGAACTCACGGCGCAGGCAGGTCAATGCTGTCAATGAAGATCTTGCTGAAATCACAGCCTGGGGAACAAACAACCTAGTTGAACTCAACGCCACCAAAACTCAAGCCTGCATTTTCTCTAGAAAGGCAGAACTCAGTATGCCCGATATTGTAATGTCTGGCTCCACCATCCCCACCAAGCCCACCATATCTATGCTCGGTATTTCCATCAGCAACACTCTTTCATGGGATAATCATGTCAGATCCATCGCAAAAGCTGCTTCACAAAAACTCGGATTCTTGTTCCGTGCGAAAAGCTACTTTACACCTCAACAGCTTCTCATGATCTACAAAGCGCAGATACGGCCTGTTCTAGAATACTGTTCCCACATATGGGGTTCAGCACCAAAACATACGCTGATGCTCTTAGATTCCATCCAGAGAAGAGCCATTCGCCTGGTGGGTGACACCACACTCACTCACTCTTTGACATCATTGGAACACCGTAGAAAGGTCGGCGACCTTTCACTTTTCTATCGATACTTCCACGGGAAATGTTCTTCGGAAATCTCTGCAATCATCCCTTCACTAGCAATACCAATCAGACGCACTAGACAAGCCCAGTCAGCACATCCTTTCGTTGTCAACCTCGAAAGATGTCGAACAGCACTTTATCAAGACTCCTTCATCCATAGAACGGCTAGGCTCTGGAATTCATTGCCTGTGGAAGTATTCCCAACAACATATAATCTCCAAAAATTCAAAAAAAATTCCAATACCTACCTCCTGTCCCTATCCTCCCTAGGAGCGCACGATGTTCTTTGAACATTATAGGGATTCCCTTTCGTGCGCTCCAATCGATAAAAAAAAAAAAAAAAAAAAAAAACTTGACATTTTCGCTAAGAAACTTCGTAGATATAGAGGGGGTCCAAAAAGTATGAATTTTCAAAATCGCCCTGTACCGTTACCACCGATATAACAAGGCCAGCAGACTCTGACGTAAACAGCTCGTGACGTCGCCAAGTGAGGCCAGTGTTTTATTTTATCGCTGGTCGACTAACGCGTCAGTTCGTGTTAATTCATCGGTGATTCAAGTATGTTTTTGAAACGGTCCCGAATTCTTTTGTTGTTTATTCATCAAAATAATTGGCGGAAAAATTACTGTTTTGTGAAATATTTTGTGTTGTGAAAGGCGAAATCACAATGCCTTTCAAGTGTTGTGTTCCCTTTTGTCGGGGGAATTATGTGGGTGGTTCAAAATTTCATGCTTTTAGTTTCCCGTTGGACGAGGAGCTATCGAAAATGTGGGTAAGTATATGCAATTCACCGCGAGGATTTTACTCCATCTAAGTATCTAAGTTTAGTAGTAAACAGAGCTTAATTTATAATGATGAATTACTAATAGAAGACAATTACTCTCTCATAAAAAGTATAAGCAGAGGAAAAATAGAAAAGCTTTGATTGTGCAGTAAGTTTGGTATTCGTATATTATAGTCAACAAAATCATCTCTGAATTCGAGAAATTTTTCTTGAATGTTCATAACGGGCATTTTTAATTCTCATTCTCAAATTTCTTTCTGAAAACGGTAATTTGCCTCGTGGCAATGAATGCAGAATTCATTCCAATGATCAAATTGCAACTATCATATTAACATGAACTACAAACACTCTACTCAAAAAAGGTAAAACTGCATTTATCATGATATATATCATAAAGATATTTGACTGAAAAGTTCCAAATTTCACCTTCTTTTTCACCTGTCTTCTGGATGGCATTTAGAACAAATTTCCCTTCTTTTTTCATCATATTGGACAATTTATATATAATTCAACTATAAATATGATTTTCTTGGGATTAATCCATATTTAGTGAAAATAAGGAAGAATATCATTCAAAATAATAGCGTGTGTAATGTCATTCGAAAGCAATCTATTGACATTTCACATCTCGTATTTTGATTGACTATTGATTAAATGGTCGTCATCTGGAATGCTTGTTCACTAAATATGAAAAACTCGCCATAAAAATCATATTTCCTGTTGAATTTTCTATAAAAAAATGTGCCATCGAAGTACATCATGAGTATATAAAGTGTTTAATGACAAAATAAGAGCAAGTAGCATCAAATGCCCCCAACACAAGGGGAGAAAGAAGGCGAAATTTCGAACTTTTTCTTGAAATATCTCAATAAATAGTGGTTTGTTCACATTTTCATTATAAAATTCGGTTTATCAGACAAAAATACGTGAGTACCGAAAAAAGTTTTCAAAAAAAAACCATCGCATGATAAATGCAGTTTTACCCTTAAAAATTACGGTTTCAAGTGTAACGATCCACTTGGGTGAAAAATCCAACAACAGAAAATTGAAAACACTCACTGGTTATTTTTTCAGGTAATAGGAATTCTCCAAGATAAATAAAGGTAATTGTAACAAACGACATGTCAATCAAAATAAAATACATTTTCCACAATTATCTTTCGATCAATCTCACGATAAGTTTATGTTCTGCGGGCCCTGTATAAGTAGGTGTGAAGTTTACCTTCACCACAATTTTTGCCAATATATTTAATTCGAATGGGTTGCTGTAGGTGGATATTTGTGTTTTATCCTGGTTTTTGCTTTAAAACTTCGTTTTTCCATAATAAAATCGAATGGGGTGCGGAGAAGGGCTCAGTTGACGACTGGCATCCTTTTTTAACCGGAAGCCCTTCAAAAAACAGCAAAATCGGCTCAAAGATGATCTAAAACTAAAATCGAAATACGCGGTCGCCTTATAGCGCTATAAGCGCTTGTCGTTTCGAGCCGCTGGTTAGGCCTGACTAAGTGACGTCACCCACGGAGCATGCAGGCCTTGTTGTATCGGTGGTAACGCCTGTACCGCATGAACGGACACAGTTATGCAAAATCTGAGTAGGCCATCCTGAGTTTCACAAAAAAGTGGCACACGACCGCGAAAACAGTAAGGTTCTATCTCCAAAGATAACTGAGATATCACGCAAAAGCATCGAAAACGGGACACACTATACAATGAACAATATAAAAAAATTAACGGTCTATAATAAATAGTCTGATGTGTCTTCGTCTATATCCTAGAATATTTACCTGTTGGTGTCGTTGGAGTAATGGAAGAAGCTGTTGGAGTATGAATTGCCATCAAGTCATCTTTGACAGTGCAATAAATTGGTTCAAGTGGAGTTGTAGACTTTTCATTGTTTTTATTGGTGCCATGTTGATTATCCCCATCTTTCTCTCGCTCTCTCAATACATGGCTCTGTCTTCTTCCATATCTGCAGAGAAAATTAATCTGCGAGCTCTATCGGAAAGTAAACAGGCCAAGAACCCACAGAAACAAACAGGTCCACATTCTGAGAGTTTTTAATGAACAAGCACATAATTGATATTTTCTTTCCAGGCTGTTCATTTTTAATGTTCAATCAACAGTGAACATTACTACTACTGAATTTCTGTGGCTAGAGCTGAACAACGTTAACAAAACATGAAGTTGTGTTTTGTCTCTGTATCTTCTGCTTGAGTGACTCTTTGTATTTGAAGAAAATAAATCAATTTAGTATTTCACGTATCAATATTTGTTTGCAAAACGCTTCCGACCCACGTCATCATCAGTGCTTCATCAGGTACAAAAAGTACATGCCAGGAAAACAATGTTGCTGAGACAAATGTGCATTTAACGATATGTACTGTATTATTATCAATAATCAACAAGCAAATTCAATCATAGAATGAATGTATCAAAATTTGTTAGTTTCATATTTTCTGGTTTTCCTGACGAGAGCAGAAGCCTGAAATGTTGTTTAGTCGACCAAAAATCATCATTTTTCGGTGAGTTGAATATTTCCATTAAGCATATTGATGATACAATTGATTCTGGATTATGATCAATGGATAACCATTATTCAATTAATGTTACAGAGATATATCAATTATATTATTTTGCGATACATAACACTTTTAATTCAATATTATGTTGTATTAGTCAGGAAAGTAGTTGTTTTCTGTTAGATATTTCAACAATGATTTTCTGATTTTTCAATTAAATGGATTTCCGCATGATATGAAATTGAGTAGGTGGTCACAGAAAATATTCTAGCAAGATTCTGAAACAGCTCAGATCAGACCAAAAGCGAGAAAGTTGACTCACTGGATGATTTAATGGAGAAAATCTCAATATCTGTGAAAAACAGCTCACGTCATTATAAAATTCTCAAAATTTTCATTGATCAATTACTGAAAAAAGTCCACCATGAGGAATGGATTTTCTTCTTCTACAATCATTATGTTCTTTATGTTATACACCACCTTTAATTCTATGAACCTATGAACTCATTAGGAATGTGTTCATATAACATATCAAACGATACTAGCAACTCTTGTCTTCCAAGCAATATCCTTCAGGAGCAAAATTACTTTCCTTATATAACCTGACCAATTATGCCGCTAGCGTTGCAAGCGGTAAAGAACGGTTGTGTGCATAAACAAGTTGTACAGCAGTTATAGGCTACTGTGAGTCGGGCTTGTCAATCTGAGTAATCTTCTTAACGACTTTGACAAGTAGTGTCAAAATTCAAACTATTGTTGTCAGTAACGCGCAAATGTGTACGCGTACTACTTTTTAAGGAAATCTGAAACATAATAGGCAGGTTTACACCATACAAACCTAGTACGGCTTGTTTATGCACACAACCAAGATTAGGTGGTCGTATCACGCTAATGCGGTGTTGCCGTTATCTCACGAGGGCTATCTGAAAGAGGCGATTGTGGTTATTCGGATTATTGTGTAATGAACGAGAATATCACGGAACGACAATAAAAGTAATTGGCAGAAACAAGTGTATGAACACGGAAACGCATACAAGTGGTGGTAGTACTCAAATATTGAAAGAAGTCGCAATGGGCATGTTTCAGAGAATATATTTTTAGTTGATTATTTTCCTCATCATGAAACAGACCACTATTTTTTGAACGAAATCTGTTTATATGAGTGAAAAATCACAAGACCCGTTCAACCGCGGCATTTTTGTCCTCCATATTGTTTTTCATTTTGTTCATTATCATTATAAATCTGAAAAGTTGTTTTAATTGATTCTTAGTGGAGATGAATTCATAATAATCATTTGTTGTTGGTTTCAATCTAAGTTAATCAGGAATTAATCTAGCGACTTATAAATATGAATTGATGGAATTCATAGGTCTTGAGATAAAATATATTATGATTATTGAATTCCAGAATTTTTTTTTCTATTTCTACCAGATTCATGATCCATGATTTTAGGTAGATTATTCCTATTCTGGCATATCATTTGAATATATAGAAAATAATTTTTGGCTGTATATATTAAAGTAAGAAAGAGACATAAATGTGAGAAAAAATGACTATTGTTGGAACCACCTATTGGTTTTCTGATTTTTTTCGTTCCAGCACTCAAAAAGTATATGTTACAGATGAATCGTTCATCATTTTACTGTCTATTCATGAAAATTACTCGATACGTGGAACTATCATATTGGTATTGCCACTTATTTTATATCATGGAGATTTTTCTCCAGTGGCAACTTGCCCGCTCTCGATGATCAAACAAAAATAAATATTTCTCCCAACCACAATATAACTGTTGACGGTTTATAATATCCCAACAAAATCATGATTATCAGAAGACATCTATCGGATAGAATAACGTAAAACATATTTACCTTTGACTTGGTTTTCTTTCAAGTTGTACAGTTCTCCGAGCTCGATTTTGATATGTGCTCTGATATTCAGTTCTCCCAGAATATCTGAACCTAGAACCCATCCTGAAGAAGTTCTGTCTAGCAGTTGGACCCTTGACAGGAGCCCTAAGGCGGAAAAACCCATGATGTTCTACAGCACACTTCCAAAGATGTTTGCAAGCCTTCTCATTATGCAATCTAAAAAAAAAGATTTCCCTAACTATACTGCAGTCAAGTGAACTGGTATTATGAATACATGAATTTCCCAGGGGTTATAGGTAGCTGGAAGGGAACAATTAAGAATCAGTTATATGGCTGTTGAAAAAACAATCATGACGTAGCCAATTCTTGGGAAAAAATGCTGTGTTCGTTAATAAAGGCATTATTTTTCCCATTTAGGGCAATGATCAACATATTATACATACCGGGTGTTTCACAAAAGTGGTTCACCCCTATAACTTTTTTGTTTTTACAGATAATCAAATGGAATTTGGTGTATAAGTATACTTCATAAATATGCATTATTAGACTGTTACTTATGGTTTTGGTAATTTTGATAGAGAATAATATTGTGAGTACGATGACACCCGATTTGTCACTTTTCGACACTTATCATTCGGAAAATATCATTTTTCAATTTTCAATCTAGATTGATTACATTCAGTTAACATTATAATTAGGATAATTATTTCAAATTTTGAATCAACCTGTGAAACAAATGGAAAGTAAAACTCCATCGAAACTATTTTTCCTTGATTCAAAACAAACTGTTCAATTCATTGATGGCACTCTAGATTGAAAATTGATAAATGAAAATTTCAGGTTGATGAATGTCCAAAAGTGGCAGATGGGGTGTCGTTGATGATAATCTCTATCAGAATTAGTGAAAATAAACCGGGTGTCCTATTTGAAATAGGAAAATAATGGCGATTTCCGGTCAAACCGGAAGTGACGAAAAACAATTGAATAGGTTAAATAATGAATATTTATGTACTATACTCACACACCGAATTTCATTTGTTTATCTGTAGAAACAAAAAAGTTATAGGGGTGAGCCACTTTTGAGAAACACCCGGTATAGTGGACATATTTTGGTATGCTTATATTATGACCCAATACTTAGTGGATTACCAGAAGTGACACAATTGATTTTGGATGACATGAATTACAACTTTCGAAACTCAACGTCCCATTGTAAAAAACAAACGTTCGCATATTTAGTAAATTCGTTGAAACGAAAATGTCCACATTCGACTGCGCCAATTACAACTTTCGAAACTGAAAAGTCCCTTTTTGAAATACAGTTCTTATTACTAAGGAGATCTGAATAGTACAAGAATTAGAATTATTATGAACATAAAGTGAGAATTTTTCATGAGATCTGGAAATGCTGGCGCATCATCTTCTTGGAACTAGAACTGGAAGGCATCTCGGAATCGTCAGCGAAGTCAGCGCTTCCCAAAGGAACGGGCGATATAATTCATGTGTACCCGACAGAAAAGGAAAATTACATTAATTATGATTCATTTCATTCAATAAGGTCAGAACAATAATAAAGTGTAAATGTTTTCCGAAGACAAAGTAGACAATATACGTCCTTCTGAATAAGCTATGACTATTATCAAGGAGAAATGATAACAAAGGTGGCGAATGAGGTTTTTCCCTATCAAAAATAGATGACTGGACAGAGGAAAATTCGAAATCGACCTGGAAATTGCCACACGTATTACATACCTATATAAAATGAAATACAAAATATAATATTGATTTCGATTATTGACATTTTAACCTTCATTTTCCCGCGCTGTCATTCTGTCAATTAACATCTGACTTCGACGTGATTTTGACGCCAAGTGTGATAGATTGTATAAACTGAATATAAACAACATTGATTTATTTTAATAGCTTTTTTAGAGAAGAAGGATGTTTCTACCGCTCTCCACAATCTTTGTGTATTTGTCTGCTTCTCCGACAAGTCGGTGTATCATAGAGGGTGAAGCAATTTTGGCAGCGAACCATATTGTTGTTTGTGAAGTTACTGGAAAAATTAACAGGAAATGGAATATTGGTCATATTGTATGCAGACCAGTGCTGTGAAATGTGATCATCATGTGATAAATGGAATTTTATACATCACATCAATAGACAAAGTGGAAATAGATAGATTTTCCTGTACCTGCAAGGCTGGTTCTTCAGAATCATGCAAACATGTTGCAATGACTTTTTTATTTTGCTCAAGGTGGTATTTTTACTGATTTTTATAATGGCTAATCGTGCCTAACATAATTGATCAAGGCTTTGTTTTACTTTCCTGTATTTTTTGCAATGCTTGTATTTTTTTCAGTAAATCTTTGGATGAATTAGATGAGTTGTCACCTACAGACTTTGAGTGTTTGTTGGAAGATCCAAAAATTAAGTCAGTGAACAAGTATTTGCCACAGCCTAACTGTTTCAAAGATCTAGAAAGCGAGTTTATTCACAAGAAGAAGTTGCTAATTTGTTTGAAATGGCCACATCAGCACTTCCAATTTCCTCTTTCAGTTCACATGGGTAAAATATAATTTTTTTTTTAACTTGCAATGTATGTATGGATGTAGTTAGGGTGGAATCTTTGAACTCAATTTTGATGTAGATATCTTCAAGCGATTGAGCTGAAATTTTGTATACACGATAAGGTGTGTGAAGATGGCGGAATAGTTATTTTTAATGCACTTCTACAACATGGGTATCAAATAAAAGGGCTTGTTGGGAGTAACTCGAAAAATAATGTGACGTCATTCTGAATTCAATATTGCGGCCAAACTGATGATATACACGGTATATGGAACATTAGAAGGATATCTGGAGAACAGAACGACACATCATTTCGAAAATTTGTGGGCGTGGATAATCAAACATGCTCTACTCGTCTGAAATATTTTCATCAATTCAGTATTGCCGCTTATATCAGAAAGTAGTAGCTAATTTGTTATTTCAAATGTACACCCCGTATATTATGTCATTTTTGGAATTCGTATACGATTCCCCATGAATTTTCTTAATAATTCCGTATACCTCCTAACTGTTAACAGTTTTCGCGATAGAAATTATTTTGTAAAATTTTTGTGCAAAACCAAGCCCTAGAAAAATGAAGATTGGCAACACTATCATATTCATGGTTGGTAGTACTTCTGTTCTAGTAGTTCTGTGCGCCTGCATATTTATGATTTGCGTATCTGCGTAAGCAGTCGTGTATCACTCTCTATCTCTCTTGTATATTCCAAGTTGTCTGATGAACTGTACAGGGTGGGCAAAATTGGGCGTTTTCACCGTCTATCTCAATAACTAGAGGAGTTATCGAAAAACCGATATACATGTTCCGGGTTCGATTTTGGAGAAACCTCGAATGGTACAATCAAAATTTCGATATCTTCATTCGTTTTAGAGATACAGGGGAAAATTGAAAATTTGCCGATTTCGATTTTATTTTCTGACTACTTTACGGTGAGAGGTATCAAAAAATTTCAAACGTATATTTATACAGTATGATGCGTGGAATCCATTGGCATCATCAGAAATTTTATACAGGGTGACGTTGGGAAAATACGGCAGCCAATTATGTTTTTTCTAATGGAACACCCCGTATATTTTGGCACAGTTGAATAGTCCCAGGTGTTCTCATTACAAATATATATATAACCCTACCTTTTCCTTCCACAATTTCAGATATATTCGCAAAAATATATTCAGTGTGTCACATTTCTTATGGTTACACCCCAGTATCTTCTGTAAGAATAATTGATGGAAACATTACCAATCATAATATTTTGTGGCAGAATGCCTGAATATGATACTTTACCCATTATTTCTAGTATGCCTCAATATTTTTGCGTTTAAAGAGATAATAAATAAGATATATATTTGAAATTGAAACGGGAACTTTCCAGCTCTGCCAAAATATACGGGGTGTTCCATAGAAAAAATTGTTCTGTATCTGGAATTTGGACATCTTCTATAAGGCTATATTTTTCAACGCAAACTTCTGATTTCCTAATTAAGTAAATTATTGTTCTTATTTCTGTATCTCAAATGTCTTGATAACAATGATATCAAATCGAATAATTTCCCATTTTATTTCTCACCAAATATCCATTTATCTGGAAATTACATTCCCTATGATATTTATTTTCCACATTTGGTGAATATATACAGAGTGTCATTTTCAACCTCGATTCTGCCTGTTGATAGCATTATCCAGAAATATCGATGATTCCATAGCTGCTGGCGAGCAGTGTTATCATTGGAGATAATCTCACTTGGTCCATGATTCCATGAGTGTATCATTTGTATCTTTCTGACAGTTGCGAATTTTTGAATCCTACCTCAATTATTTTTACAGAAGATACGGGGGTGTAACCATAAGAAATGTGACACACTGAATATATTTTTGCGAATATATCTGGAATTGTGGAAGGAAAAGGCAGGGTTATATATATATTTGTAATGAGAACGCCTGGGACCATTCAACTGTGCCAAAATATACGGGGTGTTCCATTAGAAAAAACATAATTGGTTGCCGTATCTTTCCAACGTCACCCTGTATAAAATTTCTGATGATGCCAATGGATTCCACGCATCATACTGTATAAATATACGTTCGAAATTTTTTGATACCTCTCACCGTAAAGTAGTCAGAAAATAAAATCGAAATCGGCAAATTTTCAATTTCCTCCTGTATCTCTAAAACGAATGAAGATATCGAAATTTTGATTGTGCCATTCGAGGTTTCTCCAAAATCGAACCCGGAACATGTATATCGGTTTTTCGATAACTCCTCTAGTTATTGAGATAGACGGTGAAAACGCCCAATTTTGCCCACCCTGTACTTGACTAAATTGAATAAAAAATGTCTACTTTAAGAAATCTAGTAGTTTTATCAACTATCAAAACATCTCACTGAATAATTTCAAGAGGTTGTATGTACAAGATGGCGTCTGAAGAAAAGCATCAGGGTCTGAATATGAAAGCGTTCGATGGCAATGGTTATTCTACTTGGGAATACAGAGTCAAGCTGATTTTGAGAACAGGAAGATGTACTGGATGTCGTCTTGAAAGACCCTCCAACAAATGGTGCTGAATTATTAACCTTCAAGAAATTAGATGTTAGGGTGTAGTATGTAAGATAATATAGGGTGATATTATAATGTAGGAATACTCTG